CAGGTTTGATAGTTCAATGGAAGTCTATTGTGACAACAAGGCTGCAATTGCTATTGCACACAATCCAGTGCATCATGATCGTACTAAACATGTTGAGGTTGACAAGCATTTTATCAAGGAGAAGATTGAAGAGAAAATTATAAATCTGATGTATGTTCCATCATCAGATCAAGTTGCAGATATCCTAACAAAAGGACTCTTGAGACCCGTATTTGAAAGSTTGTTGATCAAGCTGAAACTGTTCAATCTGTATAGTCCAGCTTGAGGAGGAGTGTTGAATTAGTTAGAAGTTAAGATTATGTGGACTTAGTTAGAAGTTGTTTTAAAGTTGTTTAGATTTTGTGTTTAAATTTAGCAAATAAATCTCCTTTTTTGTTAGGGAAGTTAGGAGGTTATTCCTAGATTTTGTTTCCTCTTGTAACCTTGCCTCTATTCCTCATCTTTGATTAATCAATTTTGAGAATTTATTTCTTCTCTCTTTTCTCGTGTATGTCTCTCTGGTGTCTCTATCCTTAGTTTTTAATTTTGGTATTAAAATATTTAGTAATTACGTGACTGTTGTGTTAATTTTTTTGACAAATCTTCAATGGTTAGAGTAATGCTTTAATTATCACATTTAAAAATGAATACTAATTTTCAAATTTCAATTGTGTTTAAAGAAATTTATGGATGGTGTAAAAATATGTGGATGAAAATGCTGATATTTTCTTTGGAGGGACTTATTATTATTATTTTTAATTATTATTATTAATTATTATTTTTTAGGAATCTTAAAGGGAATTTAAAAGAGCGAAAATAAATAAACGATAATGGACAGGCCTAATAAATTTACAAAGATCCCCGATTGAAACAACCGCGGGTGAATTCAAAATACCTGATAATATAATAGATTCCGTAAAATTATTTTTATTTATTTCCTTCGTCATAATTCATAAATAAAAAATATTATATGTATTTCAAAATATATCACCTATTTTTAAAATATTCAAATATAGCAAAAATTTTCACTTTATGAGATAATATCGATAGTATATCAGATACTCGTATCAGTAGTTGATTAGATATATATCAAATATATATTGTAAGTATATCAAGTGTAGATCACATACATATATCAGTAATAAGATATATTACAGATATATATTAATTTGGATAAATTTGTAATTATAAAATTAGATTTTTTAATGCTATATTTTAAAAAACTAAATGTACTTGTTATTTTGCTAATTTTACTCTTTTTTTTTTTTGCCATATTTGTAATTGACCATAAAAAATTTACATGAGGAGTGATAGAGATATACCATCAGAAAAATTGTTGAGCAGTTTCTACACTTTCGATTTTAATTCATTTTGATCTATGTATTTTGAAAATTGTCTATCTTTTATTATTTCGATTTTAATTCATTTTGATCTATATATTTTGAAAATTGTCTATATTTTATTATCATACTTTTAACTTTTGTTATTTTAAATTTTTACTTTTAAAATGTTTGTTTTGGTTTCTATATTTATTAAAAGTGACAATTTTGATTATTATTTACAGAATTTATATAAAACAAAAACCGTTAGGACCACATTTAAAAAAATTTAGGGGTGGAATGTCGTACTAAAATTTTGATATAAAAATGAGACAAAATAGAAATTAAGAGATTAAAATAGTCTTTTTAAAGAATATGAACCAAGATGAACTTTTTAGAAATATAGACACTAAAACGAACAAAATTTGAAACTATAAAAATCAAAATGGACCGAAATGAAAAAAATCAAACTTACATAAACTATTCGAAATTACATGGACTAAGATAGTTTTTAAACATGTTTCCGTACTTTCAATTTCAATTTTGTTTATTTTAATGGATGTATTTTTAAAATGCCAATTTTTTGATCCCTATAAATTTTAAAACGTTACTTTTCGATGGAATCACCCCCTCAAATTATTAAAAAAGAAAGAGAGAGAGAGAGAGAGAATCGCAACTCCAAGCATACTACTTTATCAGTGCAATTAAACCTTATTTTTTTTCCTTTTTAATGAAAAAATTTGCATTTTTATGAAATATAGGCATGTTTTAATTACACGTTTCTCAAGAAAACACAAAATTGAAAAACCCTCCAATTTCTACTTTTCATCTCAGAAACCAGAAATCGATCTACTTCAACGGCTTGTTGGATTGCAGTCCATGTGTTTGTGGAAAAGACAGAGAGATAAAACTTGATCAGGAAGATGAATTAAATTCTCGAATTGAATGCGATCAACAACCCAAAGGTGGTCGAATTTATTTTTCTGGCAGGGGCAGAGAGGGCAACCCCCACTGCACAGTTATTCGACTGGTAATTGCCACACATCTTTCCATCTTTGAAAACAAAATTTTGGGTTTCGATCTTTGGATGCTGTTTTGATTTCTCTCTTTCATTTAAGACCTCACTCATAGCGCAGTTCAAATTCCTATTTCTTTATGATCTCTGTTGTGTGGGGAAGTAGAATTATCTAGTGGTTTAATAGAGGAAGAATGTGTATTCTGAATAACAATAATGAGTGGATTTGATATGCGTGGAGAAGAAACGGGTGCGGGGAAGAGAGAGCTTAGAGATTATTTAGCTTCACAGCGTGTTCATGCCCGGCATAGGCGCTCTAGAAGGTTTTGTTTGCATTGTTTGAATCGTTTGTCTGTTGCATTTTGATTTCATCGTTCTGCTTTCTTTCTTCTTGTCTGCTTATCATGAACCCGGAGAAGGGAGAGTGGAGAGACTTATGTGCAAATTGATATATGTTTCCCTGTTTGCATCTTCACTACTTTCTTGATGTTGAATGTTGAAAGCTGGATCTGGGTTTAAATGCAATGAAATGAAGTTCTTAATTCATCGATTTGCAGCATGAGCAAACTAAACTTAGACAGGGAAAAAATTGGCAAGGACGGTTGTATGTTCAGATAATGTTCTCCTTTGTTTGTTCATTTTCATTATCGAAGTTTCAGCATGAAGATTTTATAAAACCTACAAACTGATGATTTATCTGTCCCACTTATTAGAATCGTTACGCCATGTCACTAACTGTGATCATCTTGTTCTTCTTCTTTCCCCCCTTCAGTTCTTCAGACAGGAACTCCAATGTCTTTAGAGGTGGGGTTCTGCATTCCAATAAGAAGAATGACCAAAGTGACGCACAAGTGAGGAAACAAATCCTAGCCATCGTTCTTATGTTACGTGTATCGTTTTTATTTGCTTTCTTCCAAAATGCCCCGAGGCTTATTGGATCTTGTATGTTAACTGTGACAAAATTATCTTAAATTACCACATTTTAAGTGAATGTTGTATTAACAGGCATCCCCACTTTCTACAAGTGGTATTAGAGCCCAAAGTCCTCTGCATGAGAGTTCTACTAAATTCAATGATAATTCATCATCTAAACACAGAGCGTCTTTGGAAAATGATGTAAGCATCTAGTCTCTCTCTCTCTCTCTTCTCATATTCACGTGCAGTTGGATTGCACACAAACTATTTACTGTGGTAGTCTACTTTCAGAGATCAATAAATGTGGAGTCATGTCAATGAACTATCATAAAGTAATTCAGTTACCTGTTATGTGGAAGATATTTTGACATGTCAATTTGTAAACATTAAAATTGCAGATTGAGCTGCTACAGCTGCGCTTGCAACAAGAGAGATCCATGCGAAGTATGCTTGAAAGGGCAATGGGTCGTGCATCAAGTACTTTATCTCCTGGGCACAGGCACTTAGCCCAGGTAATTCTACTGAGAACTGAATTTCACCTTTTCACGTGCATTGTCCAAATGGTCAATAGCTCCTTTATTAGTATACATTTCCAAGGGCAGTGGTGGGGACTTGAATCTAAAATTTAAAATATCCTCAAGTATTCCAATACATTAAATATAAAGAATTTTTATAGTGAAGGCATCGTTTGACAGATTATTTGATTTCATACTTGCCTTTACCAAAGTACATTTTTCCCAGACAAAGGATTTGATCACAGAAATTGAATTACTTGAGGAAGAGGTCGCAAACCGTGAACAGCATGTGCTCTCCCTCTATAGGAGTATTTTTGAACAATGTGTTAGTAAGCCATCTTCTCAGCAAAATTCTGTCACAGCTTCTCCAGCTCATGGGAAGCATGAATCAAGAAAGCACCCAAGTGTCATTTCAAGTGCATTTTGTTCTTCAAAGAAGTTTCCTTTAGGACCTTTGCAACCCTTCTCTGTAAACGACTTGGGAAAAAGAACCTCAAATGCTGGTCCTAATTCCTTGTTTGGCGGCAAAAGCAACATAAATACAGGAAAAACTTCTTCAGGCACTTCAAAGGTATGTTTAATGTATACGTTGTTGGGTTTGCCTTGTTTAGTGAAAATTAAATTTGCTTAGAACAGGAAGTAATTGATATCACTATTAAGTTGGATCCTTCCTATAACAGCATCATTAGTTGTAAACCATACTAGATTCCAAGTAGCGACCATTTGTAGAATATAATAGAATTTCTGAATATGATAACTCCTTAGAATGAAAACWGAACCGAAGAAGGTTTCTTGCCTCAGGAACACATGACATTAAGTATTCTACATATTGAAATTTTATGTGCTTTGTAATCATTGCCTTATGTCCTGTGTAGTGAAATGGTCTCATCAGAGTAATTTGTTAGGTTCGTGAAACAATTTCACAGGTGAAGAGAACTTCTCTTCGAACTCTAAAGGATCATCTTTTTGAGTGTCCAAGCAAGTTATCGGAAGAGATGGTGAGGTGCATGGCTGATATATACTGCTCTCTGCATAGGGTGGCATCAAACAAGGCTCAAAAAAAGAGAGGTTCCCTCCCCGATGTTAAACAGCCCCAATGTGGACCTTTGGAGGAACAATGTGTGAGTGGGAAAGCAATGCTGGAAATACATTGGATATCAACCAATAACAGCCAGTTCTCTCGTGCCTCGTTCGCAATTAACACGTATAGGTAGGTTTCTTGAACGGAAACATCAATATCTATTGGGTTAGGGGACCCATAAAAGGAAGGCACGTTCACTTTGTTATCTTCTGAAAATTAAGTGAATTATAGGAGTTCATTTTTTAATGATTATTTGGACTCATACTCTGATGCCATTTACCCTTGCTTACCCTAGCCATCCCAACATAACTTTTCTTTTATTGTCTCGGAGATGTTTGATTCAAGGTTTATTTTTTTTTTAGACATATATATTTGGACAAAATACATTTTTGGTCCCTGAGGTTTGAGGTAGCTGTCTACTTGGTCCCTGAAGTTTCAAAATGAATATTTTTTGTTCTCGAGGTTTGAAGTAGGTGTCTTATTGGTCCCTGAAGTTTCAAAATGAACACTTTTGGTTAGAGGTTTAAAGTAGGTGTCAACTTGGTCCCTGAAGTTTTAAAATGAACATGTTTGGTCCTTGAAGTTTGAGAATAAAATGACGTGGCAAATTGCAATTAAATTATTTATTATAGTTGTTGATGTAGCAAGTTATATTAATTAAATAACATATATGTAGGTGATGGTACTTTCTCTCTCCTTCCTCATCTATTCCTCTCTCTTTCTTCTACCCTTTTTCCGGCGACCATCGCCGTCGTCCGCCATTCATATCGGACATACATCATTTAATTAATATAATTTGCCACATCAACAACTACAATAAATAATTATTGCAATTTGCCACGTCATTTTAATATTTATGTTAATTAACAGTAAAAAAAATCAGGGATCATTTAAAACTATTTCTCAAACTTCAAGGATCAAACATGTTCATTTAGAACTTCAGGAACCAAGTTGACACCTACTTTAAACCTTAATGACCAAAAGTGTTCATTTTGAAACTTCAGGGACCAATTAAACACTTACTTCAAACCTCAGGGACAAAAAATGTTCATATTGAAACTTCAAGAACCAAATAGACACCTACCTCAAACCTCAAGGACCAAGAATGTATTTTGCCCTATATATTTCATATATAGAGACTAATGTTTTTTTTTTTTTTTTTTTTGGGTTTCAGAGTATTAGTTGAGCAACTGGAAAAAGTGAATGTCAGTAAAATGGAGATTGATGCTCAAACTGCATTCTGGATAAATGTGTATAATGCTCTTCTAATGCATGTAAGATAAGCTAATTGTGACATTTTCAGTTCGTGCTTCTTAAGTTGTTGAGCTTATTTTCCCTTCTTGTCCAGGCATATTTGGCATATGGAATTCCCCAGAGCTCTCTAAGAAGGTTGGCATTGTTTCATAAGGTATTGCATTTCTCTGTCTGCAGTCCATGCTCATGCATATAAATGTCTTATGTACAAAGAAATTTGAGATAGATATTTTTGATTGACAATCTTTCTGCTCGTTTGTTCCTCCCCCCACTATTCTTTCTAATCTCTCATGTCCTGCGTGTAAATTTCGTTCATTTCGATAGACAAGCATTGTTGACGGGCTTCTCTGTATAGTGCAGGCTGCTTACAACATCGGTGGCCATATCATCAGTGCAAATGCAATAGAGCAATCAATTTTTTGCTTCAAAACTCCCCGAATAGGATGGGTATGCACTCTTCTCTTGTGATTTTGGCACCGTTGTAATAACTTGTTCTCGAATTCTTAATTGTTTGAACACCCTGTAAAAAGAAAGATGTTGAAGGGAAGTTTCTGAGTTTCGAGTTTTGACCATGTCTTTGTATGGGTGGAAGAGATGTGGCTCATTCACATTCTCTATTTTGTCTCTTGTATAAACTACAGTGGCTTGAAACTATCATTTCCACTGCACTGAGGAAAAAGTCTGGGGAAGAAAGACAACTTATCTCTTCAAAATTGGGCCTTCCAAGTCCTCAACCTCTTGTTTGCTTTGGCCTCTGCACTGGCGCCTCTTCGGATCCTGTGGTAACTTCTTTTCGATCTATTAAAGGAACCTTAGATCTTTTTCATGAGCAAATTCTATCCCTGTTATTTAGAACAAATTTAGAAGGTAAAGAATAGAATTCCTTTGTTTGGAAATATAATAAGACGAATTTATAAGTTAATTTCTTTTTCCATTGATATATATCAGTTTATCTTTATCATTTCCAAGATATGAATTGTGTGGTTTTCTGATCAATATGTTGCAAAGAATTACTTAGTAGCTGGCCTGTTTAAACTTGTAGCTGAAAGTGTACACTGCATCAAATGTCAAAGAGGAACTAGAAGTGGCCAAAAGGGACTTTCTCCAAGCAAATATAGTTGTGAAGAAGTCAAAGAAAGTATTCCTACCAAAGGTACTCGAAAGATTTGCACGCGAAGCATCCATCAGCCCAGATGAACTTCTCAAACGAGTTTCCGACAATGTTGATGTGGAACTCCACGATTCGATACAAAAATGTATGGATCATCGGACTGGAAAGAAAGCATCTCAGATCATCGAGTGGTTACCTTACAGCTCAAGGTTTCGGTATGTATTTTCTACCAATCTAACTGAAAAGACATGGTGGCCGTGAGATTCATAATGTCGTTAACTTATCATCCTAAGAATGGGACGACCAAAAGTTTTCTGTTGATTTGGTAGGAAATCGATTTAGGTAGTTGAAAGAATTCCTCACCATTTCATTGTATATACATTGGATCAGATTGTTGCAGATTACCAATCTGGTTCTGCAAGAAAAAGACTGCATTTTGAGTATCTTTCCAGACAAATCTTTAGGAGAGTGAAGTAATATGATATCGTTTTGTTGATGGCTCGGGCTCGACTTCAACGAAACAATATAAACACGAGGAGAGAACCTTATGCCTTACAATATATTGTTCAAGTCATAGGAACCGGTTTGTGTTAAAAGTGAATTTTCTCGAGCAGCTGAATCGTTTGGCTCAATTTGAAAACTCTAGAACCGAACCGAACCAAATCAAATTGAGTGAGGTCTTCTCACCCTCTTATTGAACATTATGAAAGTTTGGTGAAAGCCATTAAATATGCAGAGATATCATGAGACGTTTTATGGACAAATGGGTGAGTTTCCGCGTGCTTAATTAGAACTATTAATCTTGCTTTTGCTAGTTAGTGCTCATTTACTTCACAAAGACCACTTTTTGACTTCTTGAACATGGGCCTTTATTATTTGTTTATTTTTTTAGATCAGTTTTTCAAATTAAATTCTTTTTRGTTAAGATTTGAAAAACGTTTTTTTACAATAAATGACAATATAGAAAACTCGTTACTATATAAACATAATTAAAAAATAGAAACCTGGTGACAAAACTTGTTATAAAGAGTCATTTTTTTTTAGTACAATATGTTGGGTAGGGATCGAATTCACAACTTCTTRATTTGAGATATATGTCAATTATCGTTGAGTTATGTTCGCTTTGGCTTATATAACGACCTAAAAGAGATTTTGGCTTTATGTGCTATAATGTTATTGGTACATGATATTTTGAAAATAAGGTTGAAATACTATTTTGATCACCAACTTGAGTTTAGTTCAACTAATTAAGATATCTAATTTAAATTTTATATTGGTTCATGTAGTTTCTTCATTTTGATTTATGTATTATCACGACGTTCATTTTGGTTTCCATACTTTAAATTTTTGTTCATTTTAGTTCTTATATTTTTAAAACGTCTGTTTTGATACTTGTATCATTAAAAAAAGTGACAATTTTAGTTTCTATTTATTAAATTTTAACATAAATTTTATACTCAATGGAAATTGTTTAATATAAATCTATGGCACATTTTAATAAACTTGGACTAAAATGGACGTTTTAAAAGTATATTGATTAAAATGAACAAAAATTGAAAATACTGTCGGGAAAAAGCTACTACTATGCGCACTACAAAATAGGTAGCAATCCTAGTTCTCGAATCCTAAATCTAGATAACACAATAAAGGAATAAGAGTAAGCAAAGTAAATGACACTATAATTTATACTGGTTCACCCAACTATGGCTATGTCCAGTCTTGAATTGGTATAATAATGGGCTAGGGGTGAGCATCGGTTCGCTCGGGGTCGGTTTTTGACCGATCCCGACGCCTAGTCGGTAATCCATCATGGAAACTGACTTCTACACTGTGCCATCTTGCGCCGACCGACCGATTAGTCGGTTAAATCGGTCGATTTTGTCGGTTTTAAAACAGTCTTCCTGGAGATGTCGGTGTTGAGCTCTGGTGGTCGGTAGCCTTCTGTAGGAAGCGAAGAATAGAAAAAAAAAAGATGAAAAACTGAAGATCTTAGACATGGAAGAAGAAGAAATGAAGAAGATGAGAAAGAATAGGGTGGGACGAAGTGAGAGATGAGAGGAGAGGAAAACAAAAAGAAAGGGAAGAAGAAGAATGGAAGATAAATGGAGGAGTGGAGGCGTAGAGAAGATAACACAAAAGAAAAGAAAAAAAAATGTGGAAACATGATAAAAAAAAATTAAAATAATAAAAATCTTGAGAATCATGGCCGCTGGTTTTCAATGCAGCTGCAGTATTACTGCAGCACACATCTAGGTAGACCGCATTGATCTGCCCTTATTTTATTATTATTTTTTATATAAATCGGTTCGGTTGGAAATCATTTTTCCGACAAAACCGACCGATAAAAATCGATTTTGTAATTTTGAAAACCGATTCTGAGCAATTTTTCTATCAAACTGACCGATCAACGTCGGTTCGGTCGGATCGATTTTTCGGGGTTACTTGCTCACCCCTATAATGGGCATACAATATCTCACAACTCTCTATAGATGCCCTAGCAAAAGGCCACCTAGCTTTTAGGCACTACCTCATCAATAGACTCGAGAACAAGTTGTTGACGACGCTCCACAACTTGAGTACTCGACCTTTTCTTCTCTGCCAATGCACTGTCGTTTTTATCTCAATTTTGTGTCACTTGTGAAAACCTAAAACAAAAGACGAGTATTTAAAGAATATTATCACAGTGTTGAGACGCTGTCTATAGTGTTGAGACGCTGTCTATAGGGTTGAGACGCTACGACCAATTTAAGCGTCACAACAGCAACCGCATGCCTATGTGTTTTATCCTTATTTGTGACARCATTGAGACACTATGCATAGCGTCTCAATGCTGTCATCTCGGCCAAGCAAGCCTGTAACAACTCAAAATCATTCCTTTTTTACTTCTTATTCCATTGTTTTGGCTTCACAATCCCAACAAGCTCTCAGTTGGAGACAAAATAATAATTTCTCTTTCCAATACAACAACAATGTCTCTCACTTGGCAAACTACCAAAACTCAGTTCTGATTGCACTAACAGTAACTTATCAACATCTTCTTGACATCAACCAACACTCTACTTCCACTACACCAATAATGTACCATCACCTTCTTGGCGCCAATCAATGTTTCATCTGTGATTGCCCTAAGACTGGACAATCCTACGTGGTTTTGTCTCCCAGATGTAAGAGACACAACCACGTGCTCCCGCTTGAACTAAGTGGTCCTGATGCTTCCTTCATCGATCGCGTCCAACGACTCCTAAAGAAAAGCTTCTTTACTGATGACTTGGCCAACCTACCTAAGTTTGTTGCCAAGCTACACTTCACACTCTACTTCAGCACCAAATGTAGTCATTCACTTTAATGCACTCATTCACCTATGCAATTTCATAAGTTCGCTAAACCATCTGACAAATGGGGCTATAAATTGAGAGTCTAGTGAACAACTTATTCAACTATTATTCTTTTTCTTTTCTCAATTTTCCAGCTACTGAACATGAATTGATGGTTGATTTTCCTCATTTATTCTAACTGTCATTGCTGTTGGTTTTATCACGTCTCCCTTGAACCGTTGGCAGCTCTGTGCATAATCCATCTCTCTAATCCTTTGACAACCTCAAATCTCGACACATACACTGAAGTTTCTCTGTGGTCAACAACCACTACCTCAAATTATTTCATGAGTTTTCACATGTTCTTTGCAAACTCACTTCTGTAACCTTCGTCATCAAACTTCCCTGAAAATATCAAATTATTTTGAAACTGGGTATATATTTGACATCACGCAGAACTAGCTCAGTCTCACCGTCGGTCCTCAAACGAACATCCCCAATTCCTCTGGCTTGGGAGAGTCTACTATTTCACATCCCTCACCATGCTATGATTTTCTGCAGTGAAGGACATGAACCAACTCTTGTTCGAAGATACTTATACTGATGCTAGACTATCCACTACCCACTCTGATGATTGGTCTACAGATGTTGTGTTACTCTCAACACAAGCTAGCAACACCTTCTCTGACATAAAGTTTGTAGTGACTTCCTTTTCCTGATCCTCCTTAAACTTTCTACAGTGTTTCTTGAAGTGACCCTTCCTATGGCAGTAAAAACATTCAAGAACATCGCCCCCACTYTTCTGGCTAAGTCTCTGTCTACTTCTATATTCCATATTTCCCTTACATTTGCTCTGAAATGTGAAGACTGATTYCGTAAAATTCTCTGTACCTAAATCAGATCACTTTATTTCCTACGAATGTCCTCAACATTTGCAATTTCACATATCTCATAAAATTTCAAACTCTTATCCCTTAACGAATTTGACACAACCGTCTTCATCATTTCCTGACAAAGAAGTCAACAATGCTATAACGTCTACCTCATCACTCAACTTAATCTCCACAGATGCCCATTGATTGATCAGATTAGTGACTTCATTTATATGGGAGTTGACCGACGCCTTCTCATTTATTCGAATGTTGAGATATCTCATGACGAGATATACCTTGTTGTTGGCAGAAAGTTTTTTCATATCTGTTTTTGTYAGTGCCTCCATCAAACTTATTGCCATTGTCTCACTCGCCACGTTTATTGATAAACACAGCCYGATAGTTGCAACTGCTTGTTCATTAGTTCCTGCCCATTCCTTATAGGTTATCCTAGCTTATCCTTCCTTCAAGGTTTTGTGTATTTTCTTGCAGGTCAAGTAGTCTTTCATATACATCTTCCAAAACTCAATGTTCTCATAATCCCTTCGAAACTGGACTTCTTACTGAATCYCATGCCTCTAAGCCTTTACAGCTATGATACCACTTGGTGAAAGAAAGCTGCTGYTATGCGAGCACCTCAATCAATAGTCTAACTAGGAACCCTTTTCCCCCCTTCCACAGTTATTTAGTGAATCCCAAATCCAGACAACATAATAAAGAAATAAGAGAAATCACAGTAAACAACACAAGAATTTGGTTTACCAACTATGACTACGTCCAGACTTCCACGATAGTCGAATTCTATCATAATTAGGATTGATACAATGGGCATACAATATCTCACAACTCTCCCTAGATGCCTCAACAAAAGACCACCCGGCTTCCAGGCATTACAACAATATGAACCTAAGAATACATGGATGAAAAACTTCACCAATAGACTCAATAACAGGTTGTCGATAACACTCTACAACTCGAGAACTCAACCTTTTCCTCTCTGCCAATGCACTGCTGCCACTATCTCAATTATGTGCCCCTTGCGAAAACCTAAAACAAAAGACGAGTATTTAAAGAATATTATCGCATCGTTGAGACGCTATTGCTACRACCAATTTCAGCGTCACAACATCAACTGCGTGCCTCCATGTTTTCTCCTTATTTGTGACAGCATCAAGACGCTATGCACAGTGTCTCAATGTTGTCCTCTCCGCTAGCAAGCCTGCTCCAACTCAAAATCATTCATTTTCATATCTTCTTCCATCGTTTTGGCTCAACAATTCCAACAAATACAAATACCAAAATAGACGTTTTGAAAGTATATAGACAAATATGAAGAAACTACCTGGATCAATATAACATTTAAGCCTAAAAGTATAGATAACAATTTTTAGTAGGGGTGTAAGTATTCGAACCGAATCGACGATCAAATTTGGTTCGGTTCGGTTCGATTAAAATACAAATTTGGTCGATTCGGTTCGGTTCTACCAACCGACCTTTATAAAATAAAGGTAACTTGTCTTCACATAACCCAACTTTTTTGGGTGGTTGCGCGGTTCTTCTCTCCCCCTCTCTCCCTCCCTCACCAAATGTGTCGGCCAGAACATCCACTATGGTGGCAAGAGAGAAGATATGCGGCGCAACAAAGGAGATGAACGGCGGCGATGACGACGGCTACCTCTCTACATGTCGACGAGCTAATAGATTAACGACGGAGCGACGAGCAACAAAGAGATGGTTCTGATTTTGAAGTGGGCTTTATGGAGGTCGGTTTTGATGAAGATGTGTAATGAGTTTGTTTCCATAGAAAGAAGATCTAATATTTTTTGGTTTTCATGGAAAGAAAATCTGAAGAAGAGGAAGATTTAAGTAGGTTTTTGTGGGTTTTTCCATAGAAGAAAATAAAAATTAGAAGTGGGTTTCTAAATTAAAATTAAAACAATAATTTTGTGGGATTCTTCAAATTTCACCGAACATTTTGATTTTGAAGAGAGATTTGAGGATGAAAGAAGAAAATCTTAATAACTCATGCTCCATTAAAACGAGAGAAAAAAAGAATTCAACCCGACCCGACCCAAAATTATTACACTCAAAATATTTAGAGTTATGAATTAATTAACGTGAAGAATGAAAAAAAAAAAACAAAATGGCTGCACAAAACTTTTCTATACATTCAAACAAAGAACGAACAACGAGATTTGAAAACAAAAGGTTTCAATCATTATTCCATAAACTTACATATCTTAAACCATTCAGTATTGAAATGAGACCAAAATTAGCCCAAAATTTTTTCAAACAGAGAAAAAAAAAAGTCAATAAGCAAGTTTTCCCACCAAAGAGAAAACAAATGGAACGGGCAATATGAGATTTGAAAACAAAAAGTTACCATCATTATTCCACAAACTCGACATATCTTATGATTTTCTTCAAAATATTGAAACATCAAACCAAATTCTACCCATTCTTTTTTAAATAGAAGGAAAAGAAAACCAGTAAGCAAGTTTGCCTTCCATGATAAACAAATGGGGTTGGAAATTGGTCAACAATTCTACATGGAAATCTTTGTTTAGGCACTTTGCAATTTGTTCAACTTTTGCATTATTTTTCTTGTCATCTCCTCCTAATTAGTGATGCAATCATCATTATTCATATGACAAAATTAAACACATCCCTCACATATCAAACCAAACTTTATGTGGTTCACCTTCTTCAGACCTAAATTTGGCTTCAATAAATTTGTGTTATGCCAGAGAAAGAGATGAGGTACTTTCCACTTTATATATTCCAACTTTTTGTCGATGAAATTCTTGATTCATCAAGTGTTTTGTTTTGTCCATGAATTCAATCTTCCATTGAAACATTCATCGACAAGAATGATCTATTGTTGATTAAATTTTATTGCATAGAAAAAAAGCTCGCCATGATAGCTTAAAATTATGGTAATGAATTCATTGTAATTTTTGTCTGTTTTGATATTCTCCCTTTGAAACTATTATGTAAAATATGTGATGAAATTATGATAAAATAATAGCCAATTTAAAGTCCATCTCTCATGCTATATATATTCTCATATTTGAAGATAAAATAAAATGCAATGAAGGGCGTGGAATGAACTCAATTATTATCAAAGTCGGGCATGATGTAAGCAATTATGTCTTGACTTGATCTTCCATTAATATTACGTACTTGAATGTCTAATTAATATCAAAATTTAGAATAAATAAGGTACTCTAATTTAAAATATTTATTAACTCATAAAATTTAAGTATTTATATTAAATATCCTCTCTGATAAATTTTAGGAGAATTTACATCATAAGATAATAACTGGACCAATAAATGACATGTTCGGTCAATATTTGGTTAATAATAAGAATTAAAATAGAATTATGATTTAAAATTTAGGACGTCAATTGAAATTTTTTAGAGTGGAAAAGGAGATAGATACTAAATTTATAATTTAATAAAAAGAATTATATTAATGACTTTATGTTTTTCTAATAAAGAACAAATATTATTTGGTCAACCAACGGAGTAAAACTCGGGCCGAACCCTACACCAAATCGCATCTCCATCGTTAGAAGCTTCTCTCTCCAAATTCCAAACCCAATCCAAATTTCTAATTTTAATCGGATATTAATGAAACTTTATTGTAATTTCAACATTCACTAACTTTGGTATCGGAGTTGATTTGGAAATAGACCCATTCACTCCCTTTCTCAGGTACGCGAACAATCAAATTCTCTCTGTCGAGTTGATTTGGACATTCATTAACTTTGGTATCGGAGGTTTTGTAGGTCTTCTATGCGATATCAGGAGCTCACTATTCAGCTCATCCTTGTCGATTCGACGTTCGTGGAGTTGATCATTTTTCTGATCAAACAGTATCAAAGTCAAAAGCTCAAACAAGCCTCCGATTCAAAAATTGCACATAATGTTAGCTACATATCTCCCATCAGACAGTGGTGAGTTCGAATCCTCACTAGCTCCTACATATTGTACTAAAAAAAGATATTTGAATAAAAAAAATTAATATTAAAAATTCATGTTTTAGAATCCAACGGTAGTCCTTTAACAAGTGGGAAATGAACAAAGAAAAAAAAACTTAAAGAGAAATAGGGTCAAATATCATGGGAACCACACACTTAGAATATTAAAACCCTATCTAACTAAATCTTTAGCCTCCGATGATTACCTTATAAAATCGAGGCTGGTAAACTGGTCTGAACATTCTTAGATATTAAAAAATTATATACTTAGAAACATGTTTATTTTAATTAACAATATATTTTATTTTTTAAATGGGAAGAAAAGGGGGAAATAGTTGGTTTACCAAACATTAACCAAAATGAAACAACAGAGAAAAGTCAGAATCTGCAATATAAAGGGAAGCACGCCAGAATCTTCTTAACTTTCCCATCATTCCATTTCCCTGCCTTCTCTTCGTTCTCTCAAAATCCAATTTCAATCCCTCCCATTTTTTAATATAATTATTTATTTAATCATCGACTGATTTTCTTAAAATTAAATAAATAGTAATAATAATAATCTCAAAATTCGCCCTGCGATAAAGCTTTTTTCCCCCTTTTCCTTTTCGATTTCCCATGCCTCGATAACTGCCAAATAATATCGCCATGTTTCCGTTTTTCCGTTATTACCTCTTTTTTTCTCTGTTTTTCTTCGCCTCTGTTTTTCCCGCCACAACTTCGCCGGACTCCATGGCGGCGAATTTCGACGGCGGCGACGGCCACAACGACTTCGCGTGGAGAAACTTCGCCAGATTCCTCGACGCTGGCAAGGGCAGCGAAGTGACCGGGATGTCGGAGCTGAAGAAGTACTTGAACCGATTCGGTTACCTTCCGAGTTCCGATACCGATTTCACCGATTTCTTCGACGATCAATTCGTATCGGCGTTGATTCTGTACCAGAAGAGGCTGGGATTACCGGTAACCGGAAACCTCGATTCCGACACGATCTCGAGCATAATCTCGCCGCGGTGCGGAATGAGCGACGTAGTCAAAATCAACCGATCGACGGCGGAGCTTCACTCGACGCGGCGCTACGCGTTCTTCAACGGCCAGCCGCGATGGATCCGCTCGTCGACGCTGACCTACGCGCTGTCACCGGATTACACAGTGGATTACCTAAGTTCGTCTGAAATCCGGAGAGTGGTGCGGCGATCGTTCTCGCGGTGGTCGGCGGTGATTCCGGTGAACTTCACGGAGTCGCGGGAGTACGAATCGTCGGACATCCGAATCGGATTCTACCGCGGGGAGCACGGGGACGGGGAGGCGTTCGACGGGGTGCTAGGAGTGCTGGCGCACGCGTTCTCGCCGGAGAACGGGAGGCTGCACCTGGACGCGGCGGAGCGGTGGGCGGTGGATTTGGAGAAGGAGAAATCGAAGGTGGCGGTGGATTTGGAATCGGTGGTGACTCACGAGATAGGGCACGTTCTGGGACTGGCTCACTCGTCGGTGAAGGAAGCTGTGATGTATCCGAGTTTGAGCCCTAGGGCCAAAAAAGTGGACCTCAGAATCGACGATGTAGAGGGCGCCCAGGCGCTGTACGGTTCCAATCCTAACTTCAAGTTGAAATCCTTCTTGGAATCTGAAAATTCTATCAACACTGCAACCCGACTGCGCAATTTCTCTTCTCCTTTCTTCATTTTCCTATTCTCTCTCTTCCATCTCATCTCTATGCCAAATTTCTAGGACATCTTTTTTCTCCTTATTTTGTTACAACTGTATGTATTGGAAAGGGAAAAAAAGTTACACTGCAAAAACCAAATGGAAATTGAAAAACATCATTCTTTTTTACTTTTACCTTATACTAAATTTGGAGTAGTTCCTGTAAGTAAAACCGATAAACTTGATAAGCTGAGACAACTAAATCAAGTTTTTCGAAATCCACAAATTCGTCCCCTGCGAAGCTAAGTGGATAAGAGATTTATTGATGGTTCGATCCCGACCTCTGTAATTATTGAACTGAAAAAAGAAAAGATCTTGTATGAGTAATTAATTGCTCTTAGTCTTGGGTTTTGGTACTATTTGTAGATCCATTGGTATGAAATTTGTGATGTAGGGGTTTTTTTCTTAACTAGAAAAAGGAATCATTTTTGTTATAAATGTATGTATTGGAAAGTTGCACAGAAAAGGTAATGGAAAAAAAAATAAAAGATTATTCTTTTACCTCAAAAACATGTGTCTTAAATTAAAGGTCAAAATTGAAAATTCTAAATTGCACTTTTGAGGTTTTGTTCACGGTGTAAATTATATCTATTTAAAATTGGTATTAAAACTATCGAACGGATCATAACTCAATTGGTTAAGACATATATTATCGATCATATAACATATTGTGTTGATGAAAAATAACCATAATTTTAATTTGCGGTTTGCATATTTTAATAGAATTGACACACTAGTTACAATTTCTTGAGTTCATCCCTAAAAAAAAAAGGTATGCATAATGTTTCTTTCTTTCTTTCTTTTTTTTTTTTTTATAATTTGTGCCTCACATATAATAGGAGACAAAATGGTAAAAATAAACTCGAGCAAACAAAAAATAAAAATGAGAGAAGGAGAGGAGGATTAGACTAAAATTTAGACTTGTCATGTCATTGATTTCTTAAAATTGTCGCGTCATTTTTTAAATTATTTGTTAAGTCATATCTTTCTTTCCTTTAATTTTGTATTTATGTCATGTTTTTATAGGTAATATTTGTGTCAATTTTGATATTGTATTTTTAGAACTTCTAATCATATACTTCAAAACATGAAAATGACACAAATATAAATAATGGAGACAATGTTTCTTTTCTTTTCTTTTTCTTTAGACAACAAAATTGACACAAACGTAAAAAATATATGGACCAAATATATAATTTAACCATTTATTATCCCGTCCTTATGAAAAGAACTCAAAGTTATTTTTATTTAATCCACAAACAAAATTTAAACGTTGAGTAGAAATGTCGATGTGGTTGATATTTTTTAGAAACTCATTAAAAAAATAAAAGTTTATAAAATATATTTCTTATATCTTATCAATTCTTTTACGATATAATAAAAATGTCGATTCAATCGTGAAGAAAAAAGAAAAGAATGAACTGACCCATAAAAAAGTCTTCAAAAACTTTGAGAGAGAGAATTTTATTAAAATAAATGAAAAAACCTATCCAATTTGAAGAGTCCAACTCAAGGGTGTGTAGTGTGTGGGCCAATTACTCTTAAAGAATGGAACTGTCAACTGAAAAAGGCCCCAAATACTTAGGGACAAGATAGGCAAAAGATAGGAAAGAAAGATAAATTTATTTTAATTAGATGAAGTTATCAAAGCCAAAGCCAAAAACAGGGGAAGAAGTTGTAGAGTGGAGGAGACCCCTTCTTATTGTGTCATTTTGATTTGGATTTTACAAAGAATATGCCTAACCTAACCTTTTGGGTCAAAATTAACCTTTTTGGGTATCACTTTCTTCTCAAGAAAATAGTAACCCACCCCTCACCGATATCTTATTTCACAAATACGTTTTTTTAGGAAAATTGTAGTAGGTAGCAAAAATCTTTTATGTATTTCAAAATATGTCATTGTTTTTAAAATTTTCAAATATAGCACAAATTTTCACTTATATCAGTAATATATCACATACATATTGCAAATATATCAGACATTCGTATCAATAATATATCATATGTATATTATATATTATAGATATATATCATTTGGGTAAAGTTCAAAACTAAATGTGAATGCTATTTTAGCAATTTTACTGAATGTTAAGAGAATGAAATCTTAGGTGATTTTGAAGAAAACTTTCCTAACTAGAAGGAGGATAGGATTTTAGAGAATTTAAAGGTAAATTACCAATTTAATTTTGTCATATTTTAATTTTTAATTAATAACTTAAGATTAAAAACCTATATTACTATTAATATTTCTTTTCTTATTTCAACAGACGTCTAAATAAATAAACTTAATTACATATATTTTAAATCATTTCTATTTGGTAAGACATTCAATAAGTGGGTTAAATTTAACTAATAGCTTAAACTTTTGGGTATAAGACTATTTCAAACCAGATAACAAAATTTAAAATGACTTTCATAAATTCAAATCATAAGGTTTTAAATCAATTTATAAAATGTTTTGATGTGGAGCTTGATTCTCCCCTATTTTAGAAATGATCAAATTTTAAATCTCTTTCCTTTTATTTTGATTTTTAAATGTTTTCTTTTGACTCTCTAATTGTATATATGGCAATTTTAAAATTTTCAATATCTAAAGAAAATTCAATACCCTTACATTTTTCCATTGGCTGCTTTCAAAACTTTTGAATTGGAGTTTTATTTATTCAGCATCTATGTTGAGTCAAATTCATGAGCAACCTCTCGTTAGTATCTTTGTTATACTAAAAAAAATATATAATTGAAACTTTTTTAATTCAGCAATTATATATATATATATATATATATATATTTTTTAATTTAGAGAATGGATATATAATTCAAAATATATCGATTTAATCATAACTTAACTAATTAAGATATATATCTTTGATTGAACCGGAACCTCACATGTTGTTTTAGGTACAACATGTAGGGTGAGAAATTCGAACTTAAACCTTCTGATCGGACATAGGTGACCACTTTCACAGGTTCAAAATAGAACAATGGTTCTTATTATTATTTTTTATATAAATTGAAATTGAATTTAAAAAGTTAATATTTCAAAATATTCAACGATCTATATTTTTCTTTAATTTGAGCCTGCAAGTAAATTTTCTGAGGTGATGCCGCCCCCAATTGTAGCTTAGTCATCCATAGACAGCGATTGGCCTTTCAAAGGCAAGAAACCTAAACTGATCTTCTTTTTTCTTCCTTTTTTTTTCCCAATTTTTAAAAAATAGTGAAGCTTTCTTCGAATATTTTTCAAAAACAAAAACAAAAAGCCATCAATAATAAGTCAAACCAAGAGATAAAATAAATAAATAAATAAATAAAACAGTTACAAACACACGTGGAAAATAGTAATACCAGTCAAATTTTGGGAGTTGAAAAGCCCAGTCAATTATGCAAAAATTATTCAGAAACTTTTCAGATTAACAAGAAAATTATAATTCTGGTTTTTAAATTTAATGTTATCGAGTTTAATTCTATGTCTTTTAAATGTTTATTTTACTTTTTTTAGCTACAATTTTCTAAGGTTGATCCATATTTTGGGTGAAAGTCTTATTCACTTAAATGAAATTAGTTCATGCATTTATTAAAGATACATCATTAATGGTACTTTTATTATTATTTTTCTTTACCTTTTTAATAAAACAAAATTTTTCCTCGCATTTGAATACTCACAATGAATTATAAAATATGTTTTATTCAATTTCCAATTTTTGTACATACTTTATTAAATTTTTTTTAGTTTTTTTTTAATAAAATATTTTGTTTTAGTTAATAAAGGTTTTGTTGGTCAACCACAAATTACTAAACTTATATTCCCATGATGGATTAGAATTTGACAAGTATCTTTAGATTAAATTAACAAAACATTAAAAATTCAACAAAGCTCAGTTAAAGGCTCAGTGAAAGACTCAATCCCTTGAAGCCTATGAAAAACTCCCTATAAATAGAGGAGTTATTCACCATTTAAGATCAAAATCTCTCTTACGATCCAAATCGAGCATAACTCAAGTGATTAAGGCGTCTATCTCTAACCAAAAGAAGAAAAAAAATCTCTTACAACATCTGAGGATCAAGATAAAGAATGAAAGAGAATGCAGCCAAAAAAGAAGATTTTATTTTTAGGAATATGCTAAAATATATTAATGATTTTTGTGGATGTGATATCATTTTGAAATATCATGGCACATCCAAAGACGGTTGTTCAAATAAGCCCACTTGGGCCGGCCCATTTTTATTATCCTGAGTCTGAGAAAACGACACCGTTCGGAGTTACATAATATTTATAAACAAAATTTATTTGTTCAATTTATTAACCTCCTCGTTTCTTATTTCTTGTTGTCAATTTTATTAAAAAAAAATTATTTGACAATTATTTATATTTTTTATTTCTCATTTTTATAGAAATATTCTACAATCCAAATCGAAATTTTGAAAACAATAAAAACAAGTTTCTTTTTTCTTATTTCTATTTCTAAGTTATTTCAAAATTAAAAAAAAACATATATATTGTTTTATTATTCCTGAACTCATGGTGTTGGGATTATATAATTATATTTATTTTAATTAGAAATAAGAAACATAAACCAAAAAATGAAAAAGGTTAGACTCTTAATTCAACATTTTTTTAGTTGTCTCCACTCTTGAGGATATTTTTTGCATTACTTTTTTTTCTTTCTAAATCCTTTTGTTTTTTTTTTTTGTTTTTT